CAAATGCAATGAAGTTATATTTCGCGATTCGTACAACATTTGCCCTGTTGCTTTAGGACAACTAGTCGGTGCATTTGATCTCCAAATTCAAGAAAAACAATTCTTCCCACATATGGCAAACAACTACAACAATTATGATATTACTCTTCCTGAACTTCCACAAAAGTCAGAATATTTATATGGAGGAATGACACCAGAGAAGCAGAAAAAATTTGATCAATGGTATGAACTAGAAAAAAACAACACTTTTTGTTTGAATGAAGCACTTGCTGAGTACTGCCTTAATGACGTACAGATACTCACCGAGGCTCTTTTGGCATTTCGAGAAAAATTCATGGAAATAAGTCGTCCAAAATCTACACAAGGAGCTTTCGGCATTGACATTCTCCGAGATGCAATGACGATTGCATCAGCATGTATGAATCATTTCAGGCTAAATCATCTTAAACCTGAACACCTCGCAATTGTTCCAGAGAAAGGTTATGACACTTGCGACACACAAAGTGCATTGGCAATGAAATACATGGATTGGTATTCAGAAAAATACAATGTTGAGATACAAACTGCACATTCAGAAAATGGAGAATATCAAGTTGCAGGAAGATTTAAGGTTGATGGATACATTAAAGAAGAGGATAGAGCAATAGAAGTGCATGGATGCGTGTGGCACGCGTGTCCAAAACATTATGGAGATAGACTAGACTTTGTAATGCCAAATGGGAAAACAGTGGAAGTTATTCAAAAAGAAAATGAAGAAAGATTAAGAATTTTGAAACAGCATATCAAACATGTCAATGTAATTTGGGAATGTGAAATCAAGAAAATGCTTCAAAGAAATAAACAAATGAGAAAAAGTTTTAAAAATTATTTGGATAAGGGTCCAATAAAATTACGTGATTGCTTTTTTGGAGGTCGGACTGGGCCCTTATGTCTTCATTATAAGGCAGATGAACAACATAAAATCTCTTATTTGGACTTTAATTCACTTTATCCATCAACAATTGCAACAACATCATTTCCCGTGGGTCACCCAAAAGTAATGATAATACCTAAAAAAGATCAAAATGTCAACTGGTGCAGCAGCAGTCAAATTCCTGTTAATGGAATTCTTAAAGTTTTTCTAATTCCACCTGATCAAACAGATGTTCCAGTTATGCCCGTAAAATTTGATGAGAGATTGCTATTTCCCCTTTGTCGAAAATGTTCAATGGATTATCCCCGTGGCGCAACATTAAAAGAATACAAATGCAAACATGAAGAACAAGAAAGAGGGTGGGTGTCAACATGCACATCAATAGAGCTCGCAGAAGCATTAAACAGTGGATACAGGGTCACAAAATATTTTAGAGCACTTCATTATGAAAAATGGGATAAAGAATTGTTTAAAGGATATGTTGCTGAATTCATGTCAATGAAAATCCATGCAAGTGGATTTCCAAAGGAGATAAATACTACAGAAAAAGAAGAACAATTCATGAAAGAGTGTGAAGAAAGATTTGGAATTCGATTGGAAAAAGAAAAAATGTTACCTGATAAAGCAATGAGATACATCTCGAAGTTAATGCTCAACTCTTTATGGGGAAGATTCAGTCTTCGAAACACACTTTCAAAAAGTTTTTTAACAGACTCACCAGCTGAACTGAAGAAATTTATGGAAAATAAATCAATAGAAGTAAATACAATCGACAAATTGACTCAAGACACTATTCTCATCACTTATGATAGGAAAAATGAATTCATAGAGGAACATCAGACATCAAATATTGTAATATCTCTCTGGACTACTTCAATGGCAAGAGTACATTTATTAAAAGCAATGCAAAAAATTGTAGGAGCCCCTGGCTGTTCATTGTTGTATGGGGACACAAATAGTGTCCTTTTCTCCTACCCGAAGGGGCAAGGATGCCCTCTTTCTGCTGGTCCACATCTTGGAGATTTAGCACCAGAATATGACGACTGTGACATCAAAGAATATGTAGGCGCTGCGTGTAAGGCATATGGACTTTCAATGAAAGAAAAGAAGACTGGAAAAGAAGTGACGACATTAAAAGTGCGTGGAATCACCTTGAATAGTGAAGTGTGCAAGAAACTTCACTATGAAAGTTTCAAAGAAAGCGTAATGGAATTTGGAAAACGCTTTGCTGATGAAAGAGAAGATGAGGAAGAAGAAAATAATGAAGAAAATGATGTAATATTAGTAGAATATTCACACTTTCTCAAACCTAATTTAAAGAAAGGTACAGTTGTTACAACTAAACTTTCTAAAAAATTTCAACCCATAATTTTAAAAGGTATTGTTGTCCCCGAAAATAAAATTGTTAACTTTGGCTCCAAATTTTAATCATGTAACCAATCTAATTTTTATTTGTATTAATTTTATTTTTTAATATGTTTTGACTTAAATTATATAAAAATTTTGATTTTTTCTTTAAATTATTTTTCTTTCTCAAATTATATATAGGATTTTTAATATTTTAAATTTATTTTGGCTTTAATTATAATTATTTTTCCCCACCTTCAAATTATATATAGGATTGTAAATTATTTTTAAATCACATTATTTTAATATTTAAATAAATTTTTTAATATTTTATTATTTTTTAAAACTAGATTGGCAAAGCACAATCCCGAGTGGACTAGCACACTCGTTACCTAAAAGTCGCAAAGCAGACTTTCTTAACTATTTGTGGCAAAGCACACAACTCACTTAGATTGGCAAAGCACAATCCCGAGTGGACTAGCACACTCGTCACCTAAAAGTCGCAAAGCAGACTTTATTAACTAAATTAATATTATAAGTTAAAATTTTTATTTTTAAATATTAAATTTTTAATGTGTTCATACTATGGAAAAATTCATTGGATTGGAGATGGAATAGAACTATCATGAAAAGGGTCAATCAAGAACACAACCAACTGTACCACCACCCACCCCCAATGTTGATTATTTATATTTACATTATTAAAAAATCCTTTTTCCAAATATATTGCTAAAAGGTTAGTGTAAAAATAATGAAAATTAGCTTAGTGTAAAAATGTGAAAAAAGTGGAAAAGGAAAAAAATCAAAAGAATAAACATCCCCCTCCCTCTCCTCATCCACTATTTCCTCCGGCAATTCCAATTCCCCATTCTTTATTTACAAATAAAAGTGTAGAAGAATTAAATAAATCGCTTGAAGAATAGAATTTTTTTAATTTTTCACCCCAAAAAATTAGGACCCCATGAGTTTTTTTGATTTTTAAATTGACATATCTCAATATCTACCCCGAAGCGAACCAAAACCTTTATTTTAAAAAATAAAAAATAAGCGAAAAGAAACGCAGAATTTCCATTTTCATTCAAACAGTTCCGAAATTTAAAAGATTGTGAACTATTATAAAATTCATTTGTGTCGCGAAACGCGAAAATTCTTTAACTAAACTTTTATTTTTAATTCAATTTTATTTTTTTTCCTTTATCTAAATACATAATCTATATAATTTTCCCATACATTCTTTGTTTTCCTACCATACTTAATGTTTGGCCTTAAACCTATAAAATTAGTTTTGTGTTCTTTCTTCCTGTACTTCACTTTTATATGTTCTTCGTAAACATTAATTCTCACTTTTGCTTTACATTAGCAGCTTTTCCTACTTTTGCCTTAATATAATTTATATTTGTGAAATAAATAAATTTTTGATTGAAAAAAGAAGTGTTTTTTGTTTATAATTAGAGAGATTAGGCAATTTCTCTACAGTCTTACCCAGATCACGAACTTTTTAGACTACTTGTATTTTTATTCTATTTTTTGAATTTCCTTACTTGTTTTCTCCTGTTTGTTTATTTATACTTTTTCTTACTGATTCCGACATTTCAAATTTTGATTTGACTCTCATTTATTCAACTCTGAAAAATGTCTCTCCCGTTCAGAACTCAGATAAAAAGCCTATATCCGGAAATCACCGGAATTTTGGAAGCGAATAAAACCTTTCCCGTCCCTCTCCGAACCCAGGGACAATCGGATCATATTTACTTTACCCAGATCCGTTCTTACCTCCGAGAACTAGATTTTACGCTTTCCGAGGCCTCCGATAACCTGGCCGACCTTTCTACTACTCACGACCAATGGATGGGCCTTCGAGAAAAAATGACTGGTCCTGAACGCACCCACGACAATGAAGTTTATGAGGAATTTACGAAAACCTGCCCGTACCCTTCTCTTATTGGCAAACTGAAAAAATACGTCCGATCCTTGACCGCTCAGAAGAATGAACTAACCGCAATTTTACCCGGCAATAATTCCAATAGCCCTCCTCCTACCGCTACCACTGCCTCTACCTCTTTGGCCCATCTTCCCAGAATGGCCTTGCCTCAATTTTCCGGGAATTGTGTTGAATTCCCCTCATTTTGGTCATCCTTCCAGGCAGCAGTCGGAGACTTACCGAACATATCCGACTCAGTAAAACTGTCCTATCTGAAATCCTGCCTCCGCTCGGCTCCTTTAGCCGTTATTGAATCTTTCCCTCTTGTGGACCAATCTTACCCTCAGGCAGTCGATTTACTAAAACAGAAATATGAAAACCCTACCGAAATTTCCCGTTCCTTATGCCAATCCCTGAAACAACTTCCAACAGTTAGAAAAGGCGAATATTTTTGCCGTGATTTATCTTCCCTAGTTAATGAATTTGAAAGCCTAATCTGTCGATTTACTCAACAAGGAGAGAATACAGACAACATACATATTCAATTAGAAATAGAATCCAAACTACCGACTTTTGTATTAGAAGAAATCTACAGAGCTAAAGAAAATAATCCAGTTTGGTCAACAGAACTATTAAAACAAAAATTGAAGTCTATTTTAAAAAGAAAAGAAGACATCTCTGCAATGAACAACAGTCCTCAAAAACCGTAAGTTTCTCCTTCTCATAAATTTTATTCCCCTAGAAATGACTCTCCCCCGGGCCCCCGATCCTCTCTCACCTTTAATACTCAAACTACCCGGCGATCGAATGCCGTAGAACCCAAGCTCCCCTGCCTATTTTGCAATGTTTTTGGCCACTTCTCCCCCTCCTGTCAACAATACCCTGACCTATTTTCCCGCCGAAACAAACTCAAAGAACTACGGCGGTGCTTTAGTTGCATGAAGGAAGGGCACACCACCCCTCAATGCCAACGGCCCATGAAATGTTCCTCGTGTGGCGGCCCCCACCCTCGGGCCCTTTGTTCTCACCTGTTCTCCCCAAAACCTCCATTTACTCCGAGACCTCATCAACAGCCTCCTCAAACCTACCGTAATACGTCCAACGAAAACCCTCGCCAATACCAACATCCCACGAGACTGCCAAATTTCCAACAGCCCAAGCCAACGCCCGATTGCCATTTCTCTCAATCCGCACCTTACACTAAAATTAATGACTACCATCCACCTCCTCTACCTAATCTAGAACACAACCAACAAACAAACTCTTCTACTAACCCTACAAGCAATTACCGACCGATTTTGCTTAAATGTGTTCGAACCACTATTTTTAATCCAGACTTCCCTTCCTGTCACTACGAAGGAATTGTGCTTCTCGATGACGCTAGTACTAATACGTATATTCATACTACGGTAGCGAATGCCCTGAATCTAAACCTAGCTCCCAGTTCTATTAACCTTGGGGTCTTCAATAACCCTTCCATAACTTCTTTACCTACTTATACCACAACTTTCGGCCTCAAATTGGTAGATGGTCGTTCCTTAATAATAAAAGCCAATACTTTGAACCACCTTACACAACCCACGCCATATGTACCATTTTCCAATGAACTTGTCTATGAAAAGGATCTTGTTCGAAATTACCAGAATATTGTTCCAAGCATCCTGTTGGGAAGTGACTTTTACTATGAAATAGAGCCCACACCAATATACCGATTACCCTCCGGCTACCACCTAATACAGACACTTCTTGGTCTTATAATTGCTGGAAAACCTTTCGGGTGCTCAAATTCCCTCCAGATTACCAACTTCTCTTCTCAAACAACAGTCACAGAACCTCCTAATGAATTTTTCTCCCTCGAAAGTATAGGCATTACCGATCCTTCCCCGACCAAGACTGACGACTCGGTCCTACAAGAATTTAATCGAACTACCGAATTTACGAATGGGCGATACCAAGTAATGTTCCCGTTTAAATCCTGCCCAAAAACTTTACCCCTTCCTTCAAATTTTGGATTATGTTGGGGAAGACTACGTTCTACATTGAATTCACTGAATAAAAACAACAACCTGTTGGAAAAATACAACCAAATCATTGAAGAGCAACACCAGCTGGGAATTATTGAAACGGTGGAAAATCCCAAGAATTTCCATCCCCCGCTACATTACCTCCCCCACCATGCGGTCATAAATCCCAAAAAAGTCCGCATTGTTTATGATGGGTCCGCAAAACTTCCCAATTCATTTTCTCTCAATGACTGCCTTCATCCTGGACCCGTGATTTTACCAGAACTTGTAGGTGTTCTCCTTCGAATGCGAATTCCAAAGATAGTTATAGTTTGTGATATCCAAAAAGCCTTCCTACAAGTCTCAGTGCATCCAAACCATCGAGACTCGATTCGATTTTTGTGGTTAAAGAATATCCAACAACCGTTATCCCTTGAAAATTTACAAATTTACCGATTTACCCGAGTCCCATTTGGACTTTCTCCTTCCCCATTTTTACTAGCAGCTACTATTTTATACCATTTACGACTAAATCCATCAAAATTAACTGAAGAAATACTACCAAATATTTATGTAGACAACATTTTGTTTGGAGCTGAAACTGTCCTAGAGGCCAAAGAAAAATGTGACTCGTTAATTAAACTTTTTTCCACTGCCAACATGAAGCTACGTGAATTTATTTCCAACATTCCCGAAACTATTGACCATATCCCCCTTGAAGACAAACTCAATGGTCCAAAACAGAAATTTCTTGGCGTTGGATGGCAAACCGATACTGATTACCTATTTGTGGAGGCCCATACCCCTCCTACCGAATTATCGAAAAGAACTATTCTCTCTTTTATTGCTTCCCACTACGACCCCTGCGGCTATATTAGTCCTATTATCTTACCTTTGAAATTATTCCTACACGAATTATGGTCTGAAAAACTCGCATGGGACGAGAAACTACCTGAAAAATTAATTAAAACCTGGAACAACTTAATTAACGACTGGCAAATTGGCACCGTACAAATCCCTCGACTAATTTCAACATTACCTGTTGACAACAGAATTTACCAATTACACTGCTTCTCAGATGCGTCTCTTACTGCTATGGGATGTGCCGTGTATTTACGTACGTTAAACCCTATTTCCAAGATATCCCAGGTCGCTTTACTATTTTCCAAAACCAAAATTAAACCACTGAAATCAAACAATAAACTAACTGTACCCAGGCTGGAATTAATAGCAGCAAAAATCGGAACCAATGCTTTGGTTTATGTACACAAAGAATTGTCCCACTTGAATATTACCGTACCTCTTTTCCTTTGGATAGACTCCTCTGCTGTTTTAGGGTGGTTAACCGGGAAAAACCCTACCAATGAAATTTTTGTTTCCAATTGCCTAAACCACATAAGAAAAATTCCTGATTTATTGGTACAACATGTTTCTGGTCTCGACAATCCGGCCGACATTTGCTCCCGTGGATTAATTAACTCCCAACAACTACAACAACAAAAAGTCTGGTGGAATGGACCTCCTTGGTTGGCAACTGAATCCTGGCCTCAAACCGAAATTAGGCCTTTCCTTTCTAATGACCCGCCAAAATTGTCTGCTCCGAATATCGCCATGACTTTCCACACACAGACCGAATTAAATGCCCGAACAATAGACCCTTCTTTAATTTCAAGACTCCCAAAATTATTACGAATTTTTGCCTTCTCCCTCCGATTTATATACAAATTACGTCCCAAAGCCCAAATTTTTCCTCAACAATTCAATATTGACTACAACCGAATATTTCCGGCATATTTTGAAATCTACCTGGCAAAAACCCTATTAATTAAACAAGAACAACAAATACTACCTCCACCAGATAGAGACAACGAATCATTGGGACTTTTTCTCGACAACGATGGAATTTTGAGAGCCAAAGGCAGGCTAGGCCACAGTAACCTTCCCGATGATACGATTGAACCAATTTACCTTCCATCCCATTCCCCCCTTACTAAATTAATTGTTTATGAATATCACCTATTGAATCACCATTCCAGCCCACTATTAACTCTCTCTATGATCAGAAGGAAGTATTGGCTACCGAAAGGGAGAAAAATCGTGTCCCAAGTTATTTATAAATCCTGTCTACCTTGCCGTCGGTTCGTTGCCAAACCATTTGACCCACCTCCCTTCCCGCCACTACCTTCCGAAAGAGTGGAATTATTGCGCCCTTTCCTTTCTGTGGGGGTTGATTACTGCGGGCCTTTAAAAATATTTGACCAAAACCAAGCCGAGAGAAAAAGGAAGCCACTCACCAAAAAATATTGGATAGTCCTATGGGTTTGCCTTTCTTCCCGTGCCCTCTCTCTCGATTTAGTGCCCGACCTAACCAATCAATCCTTTCTGTTGGCTTTCCGACGATTTGTTGCGAAATGTGGACTACCTAAAAAATTATTTTCTGACAACGCACCAACATTTACTTCCTTCCAAAAAGCTTTAGAGCCGCAATTCGGCATAATGAATATTGAATGGGACTTCAGAGCACCAGCTATTCCGAAATTATTTTCCCTCGACCATATAACAACAGTACTTGCCGAAATCGAAACCATAATTAATTCCCGGCCTATTGCCTATGATTCATCCAATCCTGCCGATCCCCGTCCCTTACGACCGATTGACTTTTTAAAACCTCTTGATCACGAGCATTCCCAGCTCTCAGAAAAACCAAATACAAACTCTCTCCTACCACCTTCCAGCAACCAAAGAACACTCACCCTACTTTGGAAAGCCATACAAAGAAATATTGGCCGATTTAAAACCCAATGGACTTCAGACTATATCCTTTCTTTGAGAGAGAAACATAAAAATCAAAGGTCCCCTACTCGTTTTCCCAAAGAAGGGGAATTAGTTATTGTTTACAACGATGTTAGTCCCATCTCTCTCTGGCCTTTAGCGACCATTCTAGAAATTTATACAAACACTTCCGATTTCCCAAGCACGGCTAAAATAAAGATGTTATCAGGACATATAACCACTCGTTCAGTAAAACATCTTATTCCTTTGGAAACATTTGAAGAAAAAGAACCAAACATCCCGCCCATTATTGAGACTAATAAAATACCAAACCCTTTAAACAATCCAACACTTGAGAACAATCATTACTTGGAATTAAGAAACAGAAAGATCCCCAAACACTGAATTTTCCTGGGGGAGCGTGCTTCGCAATATACCTCATTAATTTTTAACATTTTTAATTTATTTCCTAAATATTTTTGTTTTTAATTTAATTTAACCATTTACCCTAATTCCTTTTAATAACTTACCTTATCCTAATTTCAGACTTATTTTATTTGAATTTCTATGGGAAATATTTTTGCTGTAGGCCTTGAATTTAATTACCAACCTAAAAAAGAAACTTTCGACTACGGATTTTTGTCGTTTATCCTAATACTACTTATTTTACTGATTGCCACCACCACATTTTTGATTTATACTATCCGTTCCCGGTGCCTTACTCGAGCTCGAACTCGCCATACTATAGCTGTAATAGCTCTCCTGATTTGCTTCTTTTTAACTACTACCGAAAGCCTACCCCTCTCTTTGAAAAAATCCAACTCGTACTCCCCTATTAAACACGCTAACTTTAAACCTAAGGCCAATTTCCGAAAACTTACTAAGTCCTTGGCCGTAACGTCTGCCTCTCTCCTGTCCACAGCCGCCTTTTATTTTGGTTTAGACTTACTCGGAAATTACCTTTTGGAAGAACCAGAACTCTCAGCAGTTATCCTTTGCAGTATTGTCACTACCTTTCTCCTACTCCTAATCCTCCTGACTAATCTGTGGTCTAATCGAAAGCGCTTATTTAACCGCTCAACTACTGCCTCCCTTTTTTCAAATATCGAACTTACCAGTAATCCCTCTCACTCCCATCCGCCTTCGAGCATTTTAGACCGACCTTCCTCATCGCTTTAATTACTTTAATTTAGATACATGCCCAGACATACCCGAGCCCCTCTAACCGATAAAGAAATTATTCCTATTCTCAGACATCTAAGCCTTTTACCTAAAAAACCTTCTCCCATCAAGAAAATGGATCCAACCGACAACTTATTCGAACCACTTACTCCTGAAAGCCCCAACAACAATAATGAATCAACTCCCGATCCTCCCATTGACAACACCATTAATCAACCTGTTATTTGCTCCTCCCTGCCTTCTGAAACTGTTGAAATGGTCGCGGCATTCCGATTCCAACAACATACTTCCCTGGCAACGACATTAATTCCAACTCTAACAAATTTGAAAATTGCTGAAACCATCCCGAAGGATATTCCCGTGCAGGTAAATTTAAATGTCGAACCAAACTTTCAAAATCGTCCCTCAATTTTTTCCCGCATGTCGACTCACCCGAACATGCATGCACCGCCCTGGACTGTACGCATCCACCCTTACTTGCCAATACATCAACGAATTGGTCCCATCCCGCTCTCCCGTATAAACTTTGTAATGCGTCACCCTCCAACGCCTTTGAATATGATCAACGTCAACCGTAACAACCACGATGCCCCATGCTGCAGCCGTCAACACTACCGATAGGAATGCCCTGGCCGGAATGTCGCGAAACGCGAAAATTCTTTAACTAAACTTTTATTTTTAATTCAATTTTATTTTTTTTCCTTTATCTAAATACATAATCTATATAATTTTCCCATACATTCTTTGTTTTCCTACCATACTTAATGTTTGGCCTTAAACCTATAAAATTAGTTTTGTGTTCTTTCTTCCTGTACTTCACTTTTATATGTTCTTCGTAAACATTAATTCTCACTTTTGCTTTACATTAGCAGCTTTTCCTACTTTTGCCTTAATATAATTTATATTTGTGAAATAAATAAATTTTTGATTGAAAAAAGAAGTGTTTTTTGTTTATAATTAGAGAGATTAGGCAATTTCTCTACATTTGGAATTGGATCATACATACTCTTTAATTAATTTCAATTCATTATTAACAATTTTGTAAAAAATTTCTATAAAGCAAATTTCGTTTTTGTAAGGTCATTGCATCGAATAGTAATTTTTTGGAAGAATCCAGAAAATAAATTAGAAATTCAATTTGAATATTTACCATTTGGTTATATCATTAAAATTTTGATTTTTCCTTGATTCGAAGTTAATAATTTGGTCACAGTACTCAATAAAATCAAGGGTTTTTAAAATTTTGTTCTCTAATAGGAATAATTTTGAATAAAAATTTCACAAAAGTATTTGAATAAAAATAAAGTATCAAAACTATTCAAAAATTTCCCAAAAATCTCAATAATTTTAAAAATTAAAAAAATAAATTACATTTGGTGCCTTTCATCTCTAGTTCCAATCGCTAAAAATCCAAAACTTTAAATTAAAGTAAAACAAAAAAACTCTGAGGAAATACATATGTTGTAATCTTTTAGAAAATAGAAATAAATTAAATTAAAAGAAAAATTTTTGCAATAAGTCTTTCTGTTCAGAATCTTTATTTCATAAAAATTCGAGAACGTAAATAACGAAACATTTTAAATAAAAGAGATTTTTTGACAAATTAAATTAATTAATTAATCCTGAGATATTTTTCAAAATTTTTTGTGATAAATTAAAGGGAAATTCAATTGAAATATTTAAAAGCTTTTTTGAGAATAACAATAAGAGCAAAATTAGAAAAAATACAATAAAATAGTAAAAATATAACTAGAAAAAAAGGACTCTTTACTTGTTTTTCTCCTTAATTTTCTCTTACATTGAACCAGCAACAAATAATGTAGCGTCTAAAACTTAGTCGGCTGTCAACAAAAAAAAAGGAAAATAAATAGAAGAGAAAGAATAAAAACACAGGGAAAAGAGAACATTAGAAAATCAAAGAGTAAATTTTGCAGCTTGGCTTTATTACAATGTTGTTTTGTAATGTTTATGTGAGGAAAAAGAAAAGGGAGTATTTATGTAGATCAAAGATTAACAAATTAAAAATTTTATAAAGTGTAAATTGAAGTTGTCAATAATTTGTTGTTCCTCCAAAGATGAAAAGATAAATAGATAAAAAAGATAAAAAGATGAACCCCTAAACCTTTAAGTTTGTTTTTTATTTTACCGCACTTTCACTCCAAATCATTTAGGCTCTTTTAATTTACCGCACATTCTTTTCGTAATATTAATTTTAAAAATTCCTTTCCCTTTGTTTCACCGCAACATTAAATGTCACAAATACCTTTCAATTTCTCCAAAATAAAAAGGTAATTAATCATCCATGATTAATTACCCTAATTAATCATGATTAATTACCCCAAATCAAAAGAAAAAGTGCCCTATAGGCATACACATTACCTCTTAATCAGCTCAAAACCCCTCAGTAGGTGTGAGTTTGATTGACAGGTGTGACATATAATGTGACATTTAGGGAGGATTAACTACTTATACGTTTTGAAAGTTTGAAGAAATTGTTTTTAAAACCCCGCTATTTATATACATATTTAAATATTTGATCCCATTGTTACAGGATCTAACGGGCACCCAACATCGAGGACGGGGTCTCTATGAGTCCGTACGAAAATTTTTTCACCATTCGATTCAGCTTGAAGAGCTCTTTCGAACGACAGATGTATAATTCGACCTATTTCGACCTCTGTTCGTTTTCCGAAATTTTTTTAATTTTTTAGATAATTAATCCTATAATAGTGGAAAACAATTCAATAGTTTATGTTATTCTTCATAAAGACGAGGCAAAATACAAAATATTAACAAAAAGTCAAGAAAAAGATTTTGATAAAATAATAAATTTATTTAAAAATCCTTTTCGGTTTGTACAATTTTTTTGGGAAACAAGATCATTAAATGAATCGAAAGTTATTGTCAAATGTGCAGATGAAGAGAATGAACAGAATAAATTTGAATTGGAATATTTAAATAAAAATGACAATCAAACTAGAGGTTCTAGAAAAAAGTATAAATCTGGATGTAAACGAATAAAAATGTGTCCGGAAAACAAATATATTTTGGCCAAGGAATGTTTTGTAAAAATTAGAAAAAAAATTTAGATAGGCTTTTCTGGGTTTCAAAAAAACATTTTTAGACAAATTAGGAAGAATTGTTGCTTTTAACATTTATCTAGTAAGGCGGCCAAACCCACGCCAAAAATAGCAAAAGATTGCTATTGAAAACATCCTGCCAATTGTCTGATCGCTTTTATTTTTATTTGATAAGCTGGGAGGAACATTCGCCAGTCTTAAATTATTTTTGAAATAACAATTTAAAACATGTGCATTTATACTGCCT